TTTTAAGGGGTATGAAATTAAAAAATATATTTACATTCATATTTCGTCGCTTAAAATGAAAAATAACTAAAAATCACTTTTCACAAGTTTATGGGCGAAAGAAAAAGCTGTAATATTGAAACAAAATTTCGATTTTCGTTATAAAATGCTTATATATTGGTTATATAGTGGTTATATTTGGTAGTGGAGCTTGAAATTTTACAATATTTTGTACATATTATGAAGTAGTGAATCGTAAGCAATAAAGTTTCTTTTCCATTTTTTTTTATCTCAGCTGACAATATACATATATGTTTTTATATTTCCATCGGTTATACTTATAAAAAACTTTAAAAAAATAAATATAGTAGTTTTATATTCTTCATTTATCCCAAAAACCCTATTTTAAAAGCTTTCACACTATCTTGGGTTTCTGCTTTAATTTAGTTAAATAAAAAATGTATAAAGTCATTATGTATACAGTATTCTCTCCWACTTCATTGAGAAATGTTAAAGAGTGACGCTATAATTGTTTGCATTGTTATTGCAAATTTTTTAATGCTCGAAGTTGGCCTTTAACATACTATGCATATCAATAACAATAGTTTATCAAGAGTTGTTGTTCTACTGTAATATAACATTGACAGTCAATGCCATWTAAATACTCTTAACAACTTTGCAATTTTGATCTCTTAATATTTAATTTCACATCCYATATATGTCCTCTCTAAAACTTCCAGCATCCTCGCATTTACAAAGTTAATKTTCGCTTTCAGCTCAGCTCACTTAATTTTCTCTTCATCAGCTATGCTCTCTTCCTTCGAACAGCGTTACACCTGCATATCAATGCTGCGCAAAGCGCTTGCATGCACGTAATCATGCGCTCATATGTACGTGCCTAAGCTGTGTGCTCAGTAGGAGTATTAGCTGCGTGCTCATCTCATTATTAAGAAATTTAAGTGAGTGATGTTATGATCTTTGTATTGTTGGTGCAAATTTTTTAATGTTCAAAGTTGACCTTCAAAATATAGTGCATATAATAAAAGGTAATGAAGAGTTGTGCTGAATTTTCTAGAATCGTGGAATGCGAAATTAAGGAGAAACTTCCAATTGAGGAATGCAATGTAACAGTAAAAATATTTAGTTACAAGTGGTAATGTGAGTGGACACACGTAATTCTTGGCTGATGTCACGAACATTAACTAAAATTTGTGAAAAGTATTTGTTTGAAAAGTGAAATTGTGTTTTTTGTTTAATCTAAAGTTAGAATCGTTATTATATGCAAAAAATTGTGTCGCGAGAGTCGTAATKTGTTGTGTTTRTATTGGGAAAATTTCGTAAGTGCGTTTTCGGGTTTGTTCGTGGGTGTATATGCGCGTATTTATGAATGTAACAATTGCGTTGGTACTTCACGCGGTTCTCGCTTGGTTTATGTATGTCGCGTGTGTCGAATATTAAGTGCCATAGTATAGTGTTCCTTTAAAAAAAGCGCGTGGAGCAATATGGCCAAGGCATGTTTAAATAAGGTGGGTTTGTAAGCAAATTATTTGAAATATGCCCGTAAATTTTATTTTTGTTTATAATAAATTTCTGTCTGTATGCTCATTAGTGCGGGTCGACGTTTCACTAAGAAATGGCGTATGTCGGAAAAATTTCTACGGGYCATTCTGAACAACTTCTCCTAAGAGTCTATGAATTCGAGTCAGCGATTTTTAAGGCGATTTTTTCATTATAAAAATTCGTTCGGCAGTTTATAATACATTTTTAATACATTTCCGTCTGTATGCACATTAGTACGGGTCGATTCTTTTTTACWAAAAATATTTTCTGAGAGTGATTTTGAAAAACTTCGCCTAAGAGTCTATGGATTCGAGSCATCGATTTTCTGTCTGTATATACATTAGTGCGGGTCGATTTTTTTACTAAAAAATTTTCTAAGGGTCATTCTGAACAATTTTTTTTGATTTTTAAAATGAATTTTTGAATTATTAAAATTTGTTCGGCAGTTTATAATACATTTCTGTTTGTAAGCACATTAGTGGGGGTCGATTGTTTACTAAAAAAATGGCGTATATCGGAAAAATTTCGAAGAGTTATTCTGAGCAACTTCGTTCGTAATTTTCGGTATATCCGAATGAAGATTTATGCGTTGGTGCATTTTATACTCTTGCGTCATATTGTTTCAGAGTAAAATGGTATTGTTCACCTAATGGTTGCATGCATCACCTGAAACTAGGCAAGATAGGTATAGCGTTATATATATATATATATATATATATATATATATGATCAAGATGGTGAGAGGTTGTCCGTGCAAGTTGTAACTTAAGTAATAACTAAGATATCTTGGCAAAAAGATAATACGTAGTCTTTAGATGGACCTAATCCGTTCTTTCTCTCATTCCCATAAGGAAGATATATGTAAATAAKTAGCATGACAGGCTGAGTCAGTTCTCCATCTGTAAGTGTATGCGAATTAGTCTCTCAGCTTTTGAAATATCGAATTGTAAATTTTCACTTTTCATTTTCTCGCAAAAAATCACCGCTATATGACCACTATAGCAAATAGTTGAGTTACAAACTAAACATTGGGAATCAAGTTTTTTTTTATTTGATGAGATAACTATAGAATTTTTATTTGCTTATTAGRAAACCAATTACGTAGATTTGCTTATCTTGCAGACAAGGACACACCACCAAAACTATATACATATATATCTCCTATATGTAAYAGTGTATTCAACTCATCTCATCTGAGTTGTTGCTTCTGAAGTGATGCGATGCCTGCCAACACCAATATTTCTCAAATGACATATAACAAATGAGCGTTGAACACACACACGCGCACTTATACACCTACAAACAATAATACTAGTTACTTCGTTGCTGCACACAAGCAATCGCACAACCTCAGTCAATATTACGYTCGGCTTGGACTGGTGTGGCTGAACGCTTTTGTTTGCTCATTGATGGGCAAATGACATTTGTTAATGGCAAATGCAAATGCGTATGCAAATGTGGATAACGGTAAAGCACAGTTATAGTGACAAAAACAAAAAAAAAAAAAAAAAAAAAAAAAAAAAAAAAAAAAAAAAAAAAAAAAAAAAAAAAAAAAAAAAAAAAAAAAAAAAAAACACAGAAAACATTAGAGAAGAGTATCGTTTAGAAGAAGGAGTGAACTTCACAAATTCCTGTAGAGGAAGCAAAGTAGCCTGTAGTGGCTTGTAGCTTATATAACCACATAAGAGTAATAATGATGGTGAAGCTGCTCAGGCGAATGTTGTTGCGCTCATTGTAGAAATTTATATAAAAACTCGCAGTAATTGCTTAGAAATGTGAAATTCTAACAAAATATTGAGTTTTTATATGTCATTAGAGACACACGCTTATATTATATATATTTTTGTGACTTGCAAGCAAATATACAGTTATTTGAACAGTCAAGGCTGGTTCGCCTCAAAAYGTCCTTGCTGCTAATGACATCCTTCCAATACTTAATTTGCTTTTTTTCTGCGGTTGAGCCAATGAAACGTGGCCATACAACTACCGCTGCCTTTGCTGCTTGCTCCGGCTCTGCTGCTCTCGCTGACTTCGTTGCTGCTGTTGTTGATGACCAATTTCCATTTCAACATGGAAATGGTTTTGACATGAGAAAAATAGCAGCAAGCAAATGCCGAGAAATGTTCTAATATCCACATTATTTAATTTAAACAAAGCAGTAATAAGTGTAGTTGTATTGTATGGTATAGTTGTATAACTGTGTCATAATGACAAATCGATTTTCTGTGTTAACAGCAATCGAAGGTGTATGTATACGTGTTGTGTGGTTTAAGTCATTTGTGCAGGCAATTAATTATTTAACGCTAATTGACTGTACGTAGATTATGAGGCCGCACAGAAATTAGCCCAATTGATTAGAATCTTTRATATCTAAAGCATATAGTTTTATGTCATAAATCAAGTTTTCAATATTTACAATCAAACTTGATTTGTTGTTTATGGCATTTAGATGTCTTTGGTGCAAACTTTGAGGAACCCAAGAAATTTCCTTATATTTTTTGACWCAGCTGCAACCTTGTAATGAGGTTATTAGCTTTAGTACAGCGCATTCGATAAAGTTTTATCAAACAAATCAACAGTTATGACATTTTCTGATTCAAGGCAGGTTAAGATACATTCCGGGCCAAGCTTTTGTACTTTATAATTTGGATTGAGAGACTCAAATTGTTAAAATCCATTAAGAAAACACAGTCCTTTAAAAGTCATATATGTTGTAATACACTTGAAACCCAAGGCTTTCTTGACACTTTCTGGATTATTAATTCTTATATGATCAATGCAGGTTATATTAGTCTGAGCTATCCAAATAGAGAAATTAGCATCCAAACTGTCAGTATTAGAATATCTTGAGTACTACTTCTTCAAAGTATTTGAACTTTTAAAAGCCTTACAATTACCGCAAACTTAAACCCTAAGTGGGCGTTATAGGCTTATGGAGTTTTTGTGAAAAATAAAAATGATTTTAAGTTATATTTTACTCTTTTAGTTAGTTTAGTTAAAAACAGAATCAGAGTATAGTATCCTACTTCCATCATACTCAGCTTTATTATTCTACCAAAAATCTGATTTTAAGTATATGTGCGAACTAGTCGTAACAGTTTTTGAGATATCGATTTGAARTTTTGTAGACTTCTTTCTATTCAAAAGAAACTGGTTATTTATAGGAATGGTCGATATTGAACGCCTATAGACCTGCCATAACTAACATACAAACTAATCATTAGAAATCAGGCTCTTGTACAGAAAATATTTTATTTGTGGAAGATATCTGCGAGAAATTCAGCTTGTATTTTTTTTAAATTTTAACGGTTTTTCTAAATATTTGATATTATCTAAGTCTCTACAGGTGATATAATCCTTTCTGTTCAAATTCGCCCCACTCTGCACYGCAATATTTTGCGCAAATTCCTCACTTGATAGTTATTCGGAAAATGCCAGTATTACAACACATGACGCACTTAATTTACTTGTAATCTAAGGCATGCAAACACATAAATATGTTGCGTAGGCATATCTACACATACATATGCGCCGTAGAATGTCTACAGAAGAACAATGATACCACGGCAATGTGTTTACTAACGTTAATAGCAATATTACATATTTAATACAAGCAAATGGTATTAGTGTTTGTACTAGGTTTATAAGTGTATATATGTRTTTGTGTGTGCGTGTGTGCTGAATGTAAAGTAATTGCAATTTGGTAGCAAATAATGTAGCCAAATTGGTATTGGCAATACATACTTTGTATTGTTGACGACACTAAACACACAGCTTTGGTTTGCTTGTATTAGTGTTGAAGATAATATTAAAGAGAGCATATTTGAGTAACAGCATATTTGAGTGTAGTGTCTAGTATATGTGCTGTGCTGGTTATGTGCTTTATTTTAATAATGACAGTTAAGGAAATTTGCAGCAATCAAGCGATGTACATACACATAAACAAATAATTTAGGTAAAGGACCTTTTTGAGCTGTAGCAAGCGAGCGTACATGTGTGTGTAAACGTGAGTATTAGGGTGTCTTTTTTATATCGAGTTTATATTTTACTACAAATGCTTGCTGAAGTTGTAGTAAATGTACTGTAGGCCTGCAGTACACCATGTCGTATGAGTAATGCAGAATTCATAATTAACTTTAATGAAAGCTCGGATCATTTGGTGTAGAAGTTTGACTGCATATAACTTTTGAAGGAAAAGTTTTATGAAAAAATTATTCACAGCTTTTTTGTAGAGCGATAAATTCTGCATTCGTATATGATATTTTTAAGGTTTTAAGTTTACTTGTTGTATGAAAAATATTAAAAATTTAAATTTGATATACAAGTGACAGTAAAATACAGTTTAAATTKAAAATAAAAAAATTATKTACATTTTATTAAGTTTTTAGGACAAAAATGGAAACATTACACAAATACCATACACCCTAATATGCATGTATGTGTACCTTGCCTGCTTGAGTGTTGGTTCACAGCCAATATTTGTCGAATAATTGCTTCGATTGTGTAAGTGAGCCACAATTTGCTGCGATAGACTCCAAGTAGACACACGCACATATTCTATGTATATATATTTATGCTATAAATACTTAAGTTGAGCTAAATGCAGCAGTAAAGCCTGAGTTTACTTCATTTTGACCGAAGATTTTGGCASTTACTAGTTAGTAGTCGCAGCACACCAGTACAAATAATATATATATATGTGTATGTGTGTGTGCATGTATTTGTAAGCAGGTATTGACAGTTTCATAGTGGCATTCACTTACTATGCGCTCTATGTACAGTTATGGCTTACAAAATAATTAAAACATTGTGGTTTACAATTTAATTAATAGGCGAAAAGGACAAATGTGCCGTGCAGCAGCRGCGGCAACAACAAGAACAAAGCGCTAAAGAAACGCCAATAGCTTAGTGGCGGCAAGCAGCTGAAGCAATATGTATTTGTTGTTGCAGCAGCGGGAGAGGAAGC